CTCTCTCTCTCTCTCTCTCTCTCTCCCCTCTCTCTCTCCCACTCACTCACTCTTCTTTCACGTACACCACATACACACACACAAACACACACAATACACTCACACACACATAGACACTCACACACAAACATAGTATACAAACACCAAAAACAAACCCCACAGACAATCCTCTTTCACCGAAGTGCAAAGCGAGAAATCAAAGGGTACAATGGTGCAAGGCATTACAGAGGCGTAACTGACAAGAAACAAGCCATGATGATCAACTGCTCAGGGAGGTTATTAGTGGACAGAAATTATTATTTTTTTAATCCCTAACGAGCCCAAAGCGTGGTAGAAAATAGGAAATCGGAATGCGTGAATCAAACTAAGCATGATTGATTGAATGATTGATCGGCGATGGTTGAATAGGTTAAATGACAATCATAACATGTAAAACAATTCAGGAAGAAATTAGAGAAATCATGACGCCTGACTAGCGAAACACAAAAGCTGAAAGTACACCTAAGCTAATACCCAGTGCAAACAGCCAATAGAATTCATTTGATTGAGTAGAAGCCAGCAAAATTCTCGTTCCCGGAGGTATGTTACGTATAAAAACTACCATTTTGACACTATACGACCGATTCAACTCGTGGTCTTGAAACACAAACGTGTTTGACGTTGAAGGTCACGGTCATTTTTAATTGAATTCAGTCTTGGTGTGCCAAAATGGTGGCTTTTGTTGTATCCAAGAAAGAAAGCTTGGCTGACCCCGACTGAATCACAAGAATCAAACTGACAGTGTGCACTGGGCATAAAGTATTATACAGTACGTGTTTAAGATATGCAGGCAGTGAACAGGTGCATAGATACAACATTTTAGAACTTCATTAACATTCTCTAATTTTTTAAACGTTTTAAATATTTTTACTTTTTTTTTTTTTTTTTGTGTGACTTTCTTTTCAAATTTGCAAATTAAATCTTTTTCTTAGAATGACGTGATACTGGAGTTACACATGGGAAAAGGCGTCCCAAAAATAAACTATTTTTACAAGCATAATAGACATTGTTCAAGAGAAATCATAAAGGACACATAGAAAAGGAGACTGTTTAATACATAACTAAAACAGAGGAAAGGAAGTAAAAATTAAGCTTGATTGAATGAGCGAAGGAAAAAGAATTAATTATTAATATGGTGTCTCCCACAAAGCACAAATATTGGAGGATGATGAGGGGGAGAGAGGGGATGAGAGAAG